GAGAAGATTCACCAGACACAGAGTAGGGAGCAGAATAGGCCGACTGACCAAGTACACTGCTGAGGGGAGCAGTGGGTGGGTCTAGAGAGGTCTGCCACACCATGTGGGTCAGCTCCCTGGCAGGGGATCAAATGCCAGCTTCAGTGGCTTCACAGAGCTTCATAAAGTGGTGCTTTAACCAGTTGCACCACCAGGGAGAGCCCAAAGGAGGGCTTTTTAACAATAGAATACCATGTGTTGGTTGGGAAATAGGAGGGGAATACAGAAGTCAGGAAATCATCATTTTGTACATTAGCACAAGGCAAGAATTATCAATAGACACTAAATCTAAGGGGAAATTTTTGATGAATAGTATATTTGCATCAACATACACTTTCTCCCCATGGATTGTTTATTAGTAGCAAAGAGTGGAGGGGGGGCGTAATTATATAGTGGAGAAATTGGACAATGTATTGATCCCAAATGAGGACAATCAATTTCTTCAATGAGACCTCAAAAATATCAAAGTCCTAAAAAACAAAGAAAGGCAGTTCCAAATTAGAGACTAAAGAGACAGGACACAATGATGATCCTATATCGAATCCTAAATTTGAGGAAGGAAAAAAATGCAATAAAGCAGGGCCCTCCATGGTGGTGTGATGGGTTAAGACACAGCACTGTGGAGCTATCTGCAGCAGCACTGCAAGATGAGTTCGATTCCCAGCCAGGGAAGTGACCTGCATGGCATGGCAGACCTCTCCTGGCCCACTCATTGCCCTCCTCAGCAGTGTATTTCAGTTACTCTACCTTTTCTGCTCCCCACTCTGTCTTTGGTGAATCCTTTCACCACCTCCTATGCCTGGCTTATACCCCCGTTCTTGTATGCATAAATAAATAAATCTTTAAAAAATGCTATAAAGCATATTTAACAGTAATGATGTCTAAATTACTGAAGTTGGTAACTATGTTTATATAACAAAATATCCTTAGGAAATCCCACTTATGCCACTCAGGAATATTTAGTGATAAAGGGTCATGATACATATAAGTTATTTTCAAATGGTTCCAGAAATATAGTACATCAACAAATAGTTTGTGGAGCTTAGAAAGACCTATGCAGAGACTGAATGTTCTGGAATGAAGAGCGGGTATTAGGAAGTACTAGGAAACAGGGTTGAGTAAAGATGAGGACAGTCCTTAAGTCCCTCAAGAACAGTGTCAAACTAGATTTCATGCAAAAACTATCCCGCTAGCATAGGGCCCTTGGCCAAGCCCTTCTCATCTGATTTAGAGTTATTGAGCCCAAAATCAAGATTAGGAGTTTGTCCACAACCCTATACCTAATAGACATACATACATATAATTCTTAATAGACATTTGAACCCAGAACAAGGATTTTCTAAAGCTTGAGCCACAGGTTAAGGAGAGTATGACTTGGGAGGGACACAGAGGAACAGTAGGTCCACGTAGCAATACTGTACTGTACTACTGGCCTAATGAGCAAATTTTCTAAGGAGCATCCACATTTAAAAATAATGACCCTTCAAGAAAGTTGTCCTTGCAGCAAAAGGCTTTATCTCCCTCAGTGGGGAAATCTTAGACAGGAGAGGATTCTACTTAACCTTGGTGCTTACAACTGGAGCCCTGGTTGCTTCTTAGGGTTCAGTTCTCTCCCTAGAAGCACTGGACATTCTCTCCTCCTCAGCAAAATCTGAGGCAGGCTGTTGTCACCACTGTGGGACCCTTCTTACCCATCTATGATCTAGCAGGACTGTAGGCAAATTTTCATTGAACCTATTTTGCCTTGTAACTTACATAAAAACATTATAGCCATTCGTGTTCACTTATTTCTTCAGACTAGCTAGTCACTTCTAAGGCCTGAGTCTTGAGGATGCATCATTAAGCAGAATGTTGCATTAGTGGAGGAGTCGGCAAACTATGGCCCACAAGCCACATCTGCTGCCCCTACCTATGCTTGTATGACTCTTAATAAGAATCACTTTCATGTTTTTATGATTAAAAAAATCAAAAGAATTGGCCCTCCCTGGTGGCGCAGCGGGTTAAAGCATTGCACTAAGAAGCTGAAACCACTTCCGCATGAGTTCGATTCCCACCTGCCCCGGAGGTGACCACATGGTGTGGCAGACCTCTCCTGACCCGCCCGCTGCTCCCCTCAGCAGTGTACTTTCGTTGATCTGCCTGTTCTGCTCCCCACTCTGTCTCTGGTGAATCCTCTCACCCTCCGCATCTCTGGCTTGTACCCCAGTTCTGTATGAATAAATAAATAAATCTTTAAAAAAAATCAAAAGAATTATTCAGGACAGGCCAAAATGAAAATCATGTGTGCATTTAAAATTTCAGCATCCGGCCCTCCCTGGTGGCGCAGCGGGTTAAAGCACTGCACTGAGAAGCTAAAGCCACTTCCGCATGAGTTCGATCCCCGCCTGCCTTGGAGGAGACCACATGGCGTGGCAGACCTCTCCTGACCCGCCCGCTGCTCCCCTCAGCAGTGTACTTCACCGATCTGCCTATTCTGCTCCCCGCTCTGTCTCTGGTGACGCCTCTCACCGCCCCTGAGCCTCTTGCCTGTACCCCGGTTCTGAATGTACAAATAATTTAAAAAAAAAAAATTTCAGCATCCATAGTTTTCTCGGTATATAGCCACGCTCATTCTTTTAGTATTACCCATGACCGTTTTTATGCTATAGTAACAATGAAATGGCTGCAGACACCACATGGCTTGCAAAACCTAAAATATTTACCAGCTGGTACTTTAAGGAAAAATTTGCTGACCTCTGACCTGGAGCAATTGTTCTCAACATGAAACAATTTTGACCATGTCTGTTTACATTTTTGCTTATTACAGCTGGATGCACAGGGCAGAGCTGTCAGGCTGTGTCCCTTATCTAGTGGATGGGAATGCTGCTTATCATGTAACAATGTATGGGACAGCACGCCCCCCACCCCACCCAAAGAATTATCTGGTCTCAAATAGCAAGGTGCCGAGATCAAGTAACACTTGATCAGAGAAACCTAAGATGCTTCTAGTAAGTCCATCCTTAATAAGGGATACCCAGTTCTTCAATCATGTACCCTTCACAACTACTCAGAAAGGAGTTACTAATGTTCTCTTTTTGCAGGCTTTTTAATACAACATGCCCCAAAGCGCACACAGATAGTTAAGTCTGTCTGGCTCCTGGGCCTGTATTTTTCCGCACGTCGGGGGCCTCCCTCCACTCAGTGAAGTCAGAGGCTAGTGTTGTTTCCATCGACTGCCCCCTAGTGTGCGAACTTCCCGGAGACAGGCCCATGTCCTTTCCTCTGGTGTTCCAGAAGCCCCCAGGCCTGGGTGCAGAGAGGAGGAGGAACATGTCCTGTCTCCAGCATCTGGTCATTTGGGAAATGAAGCTGAGGAAAGGAAACGTGGCCTCACTCACAAACAGAATTATGAAAATTGTCCACTTTCTCTCGTGCCCACTTTAATGCAGGGGAAAGGCGGGGATCCAGGATGGCAGGGAAACAGGACAGGAGACTTTTCTCCCTGGTAGACCCAGGACACACAGTACTACTTGCTACCTGTAGAAAGCGTTCAAGTCAAAAAGAACAGCCATTTCCATGAATTTTTGGGATGTTTCACATTACAGGATTAAATGAGAGCAGACACACAGTGAGGAGTTCTTTTGCTTTCTGGAATTAAAACTCACCAATCTTGTTCTGTGGGGTCCACGTCCTCTATTATCCTAGAAGATAATGAACTCAACTCGATCAGTTAAATCCATGCCAATGAAGGGAAGTGGAAGACTCATTCCCTGGGAATTTCAGGCCCAGAATGGGGGAAGGGGGAGCAGCAGCCCACCCAAGAGGATTGCCATGGCCTGCTGGTGCCTCCCTGCACCCCTCAAGTCACCCACTCCTCCTAAGGCAAACCCTGGTGGGGTCACCCCACCTAATGATTTAAGATCAGATCACACAGTCATTGAGCATTTCTTTGAATTTTATTGAAAATTGACATGGACATTAGAAAGGTATCAAGCTAAATAAACAGTGCTGGTTTCGGGATGTTTCTCCTGGCGAATGAAAGCCCCAGGGTGGGGGGGGCAGTGACTGGTCACACTTTTGAGCAAAAAGAACAAAGGAGAAGAAAGGAAAAACAAATGCAGATTGTGGAAAACATGCAGAGAGACTCTCTAGAGACGCTGGACAGTGGGATGGCGATGGCTGTAGGAACCTACGTGGATGAGCACACTCACATGGCATTTTGATGCAAGTTAAACCAATGAATTCAAGGTTTATTTATCAACATCAACGCTCACCCTCCAGATCCCAGGTGGAGCAGAGACCTCTTTTAAAACCCCACTGGCCTCGCAAGGTGGAACGGATCATTTTCTTTTCACTAAGTGTAAACTCCCTCCTGTCTCACCCTTTTCCACCTGAGTGTTAGACATTGGATCCATTTTCCCCCTCGCTGGGAGTCTGCAGAGGGTCTGTGAATGCGGACGAAGATACGAGTGGTGCTGGAACTTCTCTTCCATATTCAGAAATGTTCCCTAGTGGCCGTTGACAATCCAGCCATTGAACCGGAGAATTGTTTAAAAAGAAAAACCGAAAACTCAAACCAAACCCATGAACAGCACTTCCACACCCACAGCTGAGGTTTCCTGCCCCAGTCACTTACACTTGGGTGAGTCGTCCCGCAGTGGTCTCTGAGGTTACATTTGGTCCATTCTCCAGCTCTGACGGCTCCTCTCCTGCCTTGTTAAGTTAGGACAAGACACTTCCATTTAAAATACCATGTAAGTCAGGAGAGAGCTTCTTGCCTGGACACAGGGACACATGAGCACTAGTTGGTGTGGTGTGGTGTGGTATGGTGTGGGTGTGGTGTGTGTGCACTCAGTTTGAGGGGAGAGGGAACTGGTTGGTTTCTGGTTTGAGACAACATGGAGCCCTAACTCTTCTATAATGGCAGTCTTCTCCTTTAGACTTAGTGCAGCTGCTGAAGACAAGATTAAAAAAAGCTGGAGAGGGAGAGAGAAAGAGAAAGAAAACATGAAATTAGCCAAAGAAAAAAGACATTTGAAGTCAGAGAGGGTGAGGGAAGCGGGCAGCGTGAGGTAGCACAGTTGACACTGGAAGAAGACAGGTTAGAAATGAGGCCATTGGCGTGCCATCACCGCCACCAGGGAATTCCGCTGAGGGTTTTAACAACACCACACACCAGTTTAAAGCTTCTTGTTTTTAATGAAAAACAAGCACATATTAACAGCCACATGTGAACGCCAGATGAGTAAAACAAAAAACAAAACCCATAAACGATGTGCACTGCAGCTAAGGAAAGCAGACTTCTTGGCTTAAGAGAAATGAAGTGTGTGTGTGCGTATGTGTGTATTTTAGGAAAGCCATTCCATTCCAGTCTGTGAAAATAAAAGCACAGACCTTTTCGAGTGGCTGGTTTCGTTTTACCAGAAGAGTACTTTGGTTACTGAAGAAAATAATAATGTACTAACTCAAAAGCTTTTTCACTGAAGAAGGAAAAAAAATGTTCTGTCTACAGTGAAAAAGGGTAGCCACAAAGTAAGCATTTACATTCTTTTAATAGCCTCGTTGACTATCTGAAGGACTTGGGGGTCACTCACAGATTATTCTTCACCAGACTCTCTAGAGTCTGTTAGATGCAGGCCCGGGTGCCCTTCCAGACTTCCAGGAAAGCTGACCAGCGAACAGGTGTGTCCTGGTGACTCCTGCTTCAGGAGCTGGCCTGGAGTTTTCTGCTTTGCCTGTCTCTACCCTCCCATCATTGGGTAAATTTTTTAATAGGGAAATAAAAACTTCAAAGAGCCTCTACTACGAACAATTTAGTTTCTCTCAACATCAAAAATCTTGTCTTCAGGAACATAGTGGCACAGCTCGACTCCAGTTATGAAATGGATGGGCAGGCTGGAGACACTGAATTCAGCCTGGCTTCTGACAAGAAACAGCCTTGAGACCCTCCTGCAAGACTCTTCATTTCTTTGGGCCTCAATTTCCTCTTAGGAAAAAAAAAAAAAGGTCCTACCTGTTCAAGGACCAAAATGTCTCCCTTCATACCAAATTTCTGCCTCGTGTCTGAAAGTCTGTCAGAGACTGGGTGGTACTAATACCTTGGAAGTTTTCAGAACATTTCAAGTTAATGTGTAAACAAAGGCCAATGGTGGGGAGTCTCCTAGTTGGTACTGCAAATAACTACCTGGGAGGGTAAAGACCAGTTGGTGGTACAAGTTTGGGGTTCCTTGGAAGCAGCTAGGAGAATAGCAAATCTGCCAATGTCTTTCCCAAGAAGACGTGGCAGCCCTGACAGCATCTCTCTGAGTATCCATACTTTTTTTTATTTTTTTAAATCGAAGGCTAGGGTTCATCTTCATACTTGCCTCTGGCCATTAACCCATTAGTGACTCACCAAGAAATACCTCTCCCGACTGCAGTCTTGCTGTGCCAACAAGAAAGGGTGCATGCCTATGTTCACTTTTCATCTTGTCTGCTTTTGGCTTCCTAGTATCTATTTTTGGAGTGAGAAATCCCCCAAAGGCCTGAAACACTGGCATTGCCTTGTTTGACTGTGTGTTTTAAAAGCTGATAAAAACAAAAGCAACATCAAAAAGTAAAAAAAAAAAGGGGGGGGGGAAGGGGAAGAAGTTGGTCATGCTCAGTGCCCATGGGGTTGGGAGGTGGAACTCAAAAAGAAATAGGGCTTGAAGTGGAAGTTCATCATGGGGCAGGGGGGAGGGGCATCTGACTGCCTGGGACCCCAAAGGAAAGCTGTCAGTTAAAAGAGGAACCTTGGCTTAAAAGGCTAAATGGAGTCCAGTCCAGCTGTAGCGGGGAATACTATTCAGTACACAGCCATGGATTACTGCAAAGGAAGGGCAGAGAAACGGCATGTTAGCCACATATCATTTCCAGGACACCTCCAGTTCTCACTGTCACCGGCCAAACACCAAAGACCACTGCGCCTCGTGGCCCTGACAACAGAGGGCGCTCTACTTCAAAGGAAGTTGCCCAAACCCCTATCCATGGGTGCTGTGATAAAAATTGGGGCTGGCATATTTTTTTTTTTTAAATATCAAATCGTTAGACAGGAGATAAAGTTAAGAACCTTCCAAGGCACAACCCTCTTTTCACCACTACAGCTGATGACTCTCCCCTCCTCTTACTGGGAGACATGTGCAAACCACACATTAAAAATCATCACCAACAGACCAAGTCAATAGACTCGAAGACATATCAGAACCAAACTGAAAACACTGACTTTTAACTATTCAAACTGACAGTTTACAGTGTGGGGTTGGTGTGAGCCTCGAAAGGAAATTATAGAGGAGATGCTGAGGCACCTCAGAAGAATTCCACAAATCTGTCATGCAAGACACTAGGCTGGTAATCAGGTTTATTCTCCTTTCTGCATCTGTGGGGTACCCAGAATTAGAGAGAGGAGACATTTATCCTCTTTCCTTCAGTGGTTGTGTTTTCTGGGAAGGAATGGTGTCAATAAACTGGTTCTGGATTTTAAGTTTTTGAGGGTAGTAACTTTGAGTGAATCAAAGGATTAGGCTGAGGTTAGAAGGAAAAGAGGCATCAAAGGAACTGCCTTTGGGGCCTTCTGAGAAAGGACTGGGACTCCTGAGGTGCAGGAGACTAAGGGGGAAGCCTTTGTGGATGCAAAGGCCTCAGGAAAGCAAATAGGAGTCAGAGTTAGCTGGTGGTGAAGAGTAGCAGATGGGAGGCTGAACTTCTTAAGGTCTGGCAAAGTTAGGGGTGTGGCTGGGGGTTCAAGGAGGGGGACTGGATGTAGCATGCATCTCCAAGCCACAGGACTGCTGGCTTCTTGACCAGAGGCCAAACACTGTCCCGAGACTGTCAGGATTCTCTAAGCCTTGGCAGGAAGAGCGGGAAGGGCAAAGGTCATGTGACCCCCACCCCAAAGTGTTAAGAGGGAATCCCAGCTCTGTTGCTCAGGAAAAGGGTGTCTACAGGAAACCCAAACTGAAAATGAAAAGAAAAGTCGGGTTAATGAATGGAAGGATTAATATACAAATAAATAAATAAATAAAAAGGTTAGAAGAAAATGGCTTAAGTCATGATGACTAATGGGTAAATTAGAATGCAGCTATGTTAGATGGTCTGAAGGTCTCATTGCATTGGCTCCGGGGACCACTCTCTCTCACACACCATACACCACACAGGCCTCTGAATGGCAGCAAGAGTGGCAGTAGTTAGCAAAATAATTCTCATCTGCGGTGAAAACACTTTTTATCAGGCCCTGTCTAACACCTCCCATACACACCTCATGCAGGAATACTATCTCCAGTGGGCTCAGCCCAGAGCTGAGTGCCAGGACCTCAGTCCCCCCACATGGCCTTGTCCCCGGCAGGGGGTGGGGAGTGGGTCAGAGGTTTCCCCTCAGGTAGTCTTCCGGGTGGCCCCCCTCAGCTAACTGGTCCCTGAGGGCAAGACCTGTTGGTGAAGTATCTGCGGAGGAGTGCTGAGTTCCTCACTCCGGCCCAGATCAGTTACCTTCAGACCTTGAACTATGGCAGCCTATTTTTGTTTCTTGTTCCCCTAACACTTTGACCTCTCTGTCATTTAAACCCTGTCCCTGTAATATAAACGCACAAGTGTCATGGGGCCTACTTTGACGTAAGAGGTGACTACGAGTCACAGAAGCAAGCTGGCCCATGTTCCCAAACAGAGCCTCAGCCCTGCTAGAACCTGTGACTTCTGGCTGTTTACTGCTCCTCCCAGCCCCAAATGTCCCTAAGAGCACTGTATCTGTGGCTCTAACCCTTAGCTATTAGCCAAAAACTACATTTATGCCATTAAGTAAATCGAATTTTTAGATATCTGGAAGGCATGGTTAAAACATACACATATGTGAGTATGTCTGTACAGTCATGGCCTCAGCTGGATATAAACCCCCACACACATACACACAATCACGTGAAAGGCAATTTATAACAACAACTGCTAGTTTTGTGTTCTTGTTCCGGTTCCAGCACTAGCACACTGTGGGATCCGTGGATTCTCCTCCCCTCTATTTACACATCTGGCAAAGGGAAGGAGAGTATGCCTTTTTTCTCTTCCTCACAGGACTTCGGGAAGGTGAAAATGAGGTAGTATAGGGAAAAACACTTTGGAAAGTAGCAAAAATGTCATACAAATGTGCACTTCTCATCTTCTTCCTCGGTGGCAAGAAATGTAAACACTGCAGGAGGCCCATCTTCTGAGCCTCGTGGGACAGGTGTAGAGGTTTCTCCTACTTTCCAAAAGTAGGATATTTGGCATTTGTCGGTAGATTATTTTAGAGGTTCTGGGAACGTTTCTATTTATTAACATATTATTATTATTACTAATATAAATGAATGGTAACAGTGATCCCAGACCAAAAGAAATAACCTACCAAATACAGACAGTGTACTTTCAGGTACTAGAGAAACTGTTTATTTGCCCAAAGGGTCAAGGGCCAGTAACCACTGACAGATAATACTACCTGCGATGCAATACTACCACACAGAGGGGTTTCTCTTGGAGTGCCTCAAGAAATACCAAAATCAGTGAAGAAGGGGAGCCTTACTCCACTGACACTCTAGTTACTGAGGGGGGATTCTGGAAAGGAACAGGCTGTCTTTGCTGCTTTCAAATCTTGGGTAGCCAAGCCTTTTCTCCCTCCCCTATTTGGTTTAGAACTGCTGTTCCAGTCTCCTGGCGGGAAGCCTGCCAGGAAAGGCCAACACGCTTGGGGCTGGGGTTGGCTGTTCCTGCTGTCTGCCAACTGCCTCTCACTTGTAAAGTATGGCTTTAATTATAGTTTTGTCAGAATTCATTTTAGTAATGACCACTACCAAAGATTTACTCGGGGAAACCTGAACCAAATTGTGTCAAACCGCAAGCAATGAAACCCAAAATTCATGGAAATCTGACTTAGGAGGATCCAGTTCTCCCGCTCTTATTGAAAACGGGGTGACAGAAAATACGGATGAGCTCTCCAGGTGTCAGCCACTTCACTGGGCTGGACTGGACTGACACTGTAGGAATTCAGAGTCTTCCTCAATGAAAATCAGCTGTTTAATTCAAGTCAACGAACAGGGCTTGCCTTCAAGCCAGACAATAAATCACTTCATTGTTCTTTTTAGGGTTGTTTTCTTTGGCCCAATTTCGTAGGCCTTATGTTCCAGAAGCCTCTGTGGACTTCCTCTTCGGGGTTTGCTTGAAAGTAGGCTGTTTTGCCAGCTGCTCAGAGTGCCTGGTGCCCTCGCTGCAGTAGTCAGTGAGGGACTCCATTTAAACCAGGCTCTCCATTTAAATCATAAACTACATTGGTGAGTGGGGAGAAGTCTTCTCAGTATTTTACATTCCCTGATCCAAACAACCAAATGGAAAAGACATTTATGGGACAAACAGGGCACGCTGAGCACTGACTAAATGTTTTATGTCAGCAAATTGTTAATTTTGTAGGTGCGATAATGGTGGTGCTGTGGTTATGGGGTTTTTAAAAAGGCATTATTTCTTAGAGACATGCTAGAGTATTTACAGATGAAATTATATGGTCTTGCTTTGCAATTATCCAGCAAGTTTGGGGTAACAGATGAAGCACGACTGGCCCTATGCTGGTGGGCTTTGGGGGCTGGGTCATGGGTATGTGTGGGGGAGGGGCGCATGGTCCTCTTTTCTCTCATTTGTTCCTGTTTGAAAGTTTCCATGACCAAGTTTAAAAAACTAGCACAACGCCTAATTATGTCAACTTGAACGTACTTATGTTCCCTTTCCACTCACCCCCTGAGTATAGCAGAATAGAGAAAAGGTTCTTAATCACTGTTTTCATCCACCTGTAAGCTATGTGATGCCAAGAACTGCTTTAGCCACTTCTGTAGATACAATGCCTACCCTTGAGGAGTCCATCTTTCCAAAGATAACTTGCTTACCTCCTTTATCAGAGGTGTTCATGAAGCCAAATAAAAAGGGAAGAATTTTCTAGAATATCTGAGAATACTTCATTTTCTTCCATTTCTATGATGGTTGGAAGGATTACACAGTCAAAGGAAATTTGAAAATGTAAGTCCCTCAGCTAAGAAACAGCCACCAGAGGGAAACAGAGAAGCAAGTTTCCATTGCCTTGAAACAGTCCCACATCCGAAGGTCAGTGGGACTGAAATTGCAGGAAAAGATCTGTGAACTCAATTGTTTCCCTCCTCATCACAAGAGTTTACTTAATCTTAAAAGTAAGGATTAAGGCTCTTTCAAAAGAAATGTTCAAAATAGAAACCTCAAATACCGATCACAGGATCCCTCTCTGTCACCCACGTATTCTAGCAGGAAAAATATGAAAACACTCCCCCTTTTAATCAGGCAGGCAAACAATCACATGTACACTTGAAACCACACCAGATTCTTTCTTAATATTTAAGTTGCAAGCTGGGACAATGAAGCCGCTTCATTTAAGATGAGATGTGTATGTTGGGGGTGAGGAGGGGCAGAATTTGGGGAGATGTGTTCTAGAAGCCACTGTCATTCTACTGAGAGTTAATAAAGCTTACCAGAACCCTGGGTCTCATGCAGCATGCAGCAAACAGCAGAGTTAACTGTAAAACAGTAAGAGCTGATGAAGATGGAGTGAGCTTGAGGAGAAATCAAATATTATGAGCTGACATAAACAATGAAAATCAGCGGTCAACGGAGATTAGGAGTGAGGAAAGGGGTCAGGAGGGGAGGGTGGGCTGATAGGGACCCCGAAACACTGGGACTTATTCTTAACCTCTTTAAGGGTAGCCACAGGAAATCCCAAATATGTGATTCTACTAGATCCAACCACCATCTCTCAAGAAGAAATGCTATTCTCAGCATCACCATCCTCAAAGCCTCCAGCACAGTGGGGCAGGGCCCAGATCTCACACTGGGGTTTTCAGCAGTCTGCCGACTGTTCATGTCCAGGACTGGTTAGACACCTGGCAGTATGCAAGAGAAAGTCTATTTTGAGAGGGCCTCACTACTACCATGAGGTGTGAGATGCCAGCAAAGGTTTTTCCCCACCTCTGAATTTGAAAAGGGAGTATTCCCCAACCCCAAATAAAAAGGTGTCTCCTGCCTGGGATGGAAGGGGGTCAGTTAATTTGAGGAAACCAGGAGAAATCCTGGGCTGGGAGGACACCCCACTGAACATCCACATAGAGAATATTTATGCTTAGTATCAATGGGGTCCAAAGCAATGAATGTTCTGACTCCTGCCTGCAGCCTGTGGCCGTGCCTCAGGACTGCAGTAACACACACCATGGGGCTATGAAGGCGGCACGTTAGACCTGGAAGACAAATTTTTATTTTTCTGATCTTAAAAACAAGAATCCATTCCTGCTGATCTAAAGAACACACTGTGACTGATGAATTCATAAAGTGTGCCCCAAGAGGCTTTAATTTCCTGGCAAACTGATGGATCGGCATCAGGCTGTACCCCAAAAGTTAATTAGGCAGTGAATTTCACATCTAGTGTTATGATTCCATAACACAAATCTCTGGACTGCGAAAATGTTCACATTCCGTTTTGGAATAGTCTACGCAGAGGGCAAAACTGAGTGATTTCAAATGTGAAATAGTTTACTGTTTTACCAGAGCCACCGTTTCATTCCTAAGTGATCAAGCCAGACAGAGAGGAAAGGGGAGGGTTCCCTCTTTCTGGCAAACAACCAAAAGCTGACTTGAGGAACAAGTGGCTGAGAACAGAAGGCAATACACATGGCCAGCGTGGGGGCCCTCGGGCCCCTTTAGTAAGGACGTTGCCCGACCCCCTGCCCAGGCAGCTCAAGTGGCCCTGCATCAGCGAGCCCATGGGAACGCTGGGCGAGTCCTTGGTGTTGTGCAGGTGCCACTGGAGAGGTTTTCCTCTGCTTGAGTGTTGGGGCAAGGAAGGGGTAACTTCTGCAAGCAAGGCTTGGGAACGGGGCTGGGTTATGAGCCCATCTGGTAACCAGGAGCCCCTGACGTCCTGCCTGATCAGATGTCAGCGAGGGTGGATGCATTTGAAATCATGCCCCAGATTGAGGATGGGCCACACGAAGAATGCCAGCATGTGAGGGCCCCCCAAGTGCCACAGGCTGGCAACAACTGAGTGGCTAAAAATGACCAGGTGGGAAATTGGGGTTGTCTGGCTGCAGCAGTGAGGACACAGGGGCAGGGTGTGAGGGTCGGCCTAAGACCGCCAGAGCCCCCACCGGATGAGCAAACAGGCCTGTAAACCAGTCAGCATCAACCTTTGAGGGGCGCGGGTGGGGGGCAGTGAGGGTGCCCAGAGACTCCTGGTAGAAGTTCTCTCTTTCTCCCACCTGTGTGCCACCCACCCTCCTTTTTGTTCAGCTTCTTCCAACTTTGCAGCTCTCCTAGTCTCCTCTCTCCTTCCTCTACTCTCCATTCCATTTGCTTTTGCACTCCCCTCCCTGTCTCGAGTTTGCTGGGCTTTCCTAAAAGGCTGGGCCTCTGGGGCCACACCTTCCTCTACTCTCAGCTCCCCCAAGTCAGGGAGTCGGAGCTCCCTGATCTTCATTCATACACTGAGGCCAGTTCTAGGCTCCCCAACCCATCTATCAGCCCACAGCTCACCCCTGGGCACCCTTATCAGCCCTCTCAGCAGCCAGGCCCTGCCCTGAGAGGTTGAACAAAGAGGAGAAAGAAGCCGCCACCCAGAGCTGCCAACCACTTACTTTTTCTTCTCTTTGTCTCTTTTCAGAGTCTGTGAGCCTCCCGCCTGGGAGCCCTGGGACTGGAGCAGCTCTGCCGCTGTCTTCCTCTGTTTGAAGGCGTTCACTTCATCATCCAGGGACTTCTTCTTATCCTCCAGCTTCTTCTTCTCATCCTGATGTAGTTTCTTCAGACGGTCAAACTTCTCATGCAGCTGGCAGGGAAGCACAGAGAATTTGGGGAGAGTCCTCAGTGAGCCCGTTCCGGCCGAGCAGAGCCCAGGGCAGGTAGGCATGGCAGGATGGTTGGGAGCTACCATATGCGACAGCACAATTCTATGAGAAAACATCCAGCTTGGGGGAGAAGCCGTCAAGAAGACCTGGATCTCCAACACCCTTGTGAGGCTCATTCTCACCCGAATTTAGTCTCCTTTTCCTTCCTGCCTGGCAGCCCCGTGCACATTTACCTCTTTCTCTGCCTCTTTGAGTTCAGCTTCTTTCTCTTTGACTCTCTGGACGAACATCTGTCTCATCTCCTCTTCTTTTTTCTGGACCTCCCCTAGGAACTCATTCCTTTTGGCCTCATATGTCTCCTGTAAACTGCAGACACAGTCGAGTTCATTCCCCCGCCTTCACAATGGCTCCCATTCGGTGAGAATTGGCCCCAGCGATCCTTCTGGGCTCCCCACCCCCCCTTCCCTAGTTCTGGGAGAGATGCACCAACAGAACTACGAAGCTGGGGCAGCTGGTGTGGACTGTGGCAGCACCAGTCAGGCATGGGGGAGGCCAGATGACCTGGAGAGATGTTGGGAGCTAGAAGTGACTTAAAGCATCTGCTTCTCAAGCCTTATTCCACAAACGAGGAGGCAGACCTGGAGAGGTGAGAAGACTGGCTGAATTTCACACAGCTAGAGGCAGAGCTGGGACCAGAAACTGAGTCTCTAGTCTCCTGACCTGGATCCTCCCATTGCACTCTGCTGCCAGGTCCTGTCTCTGTGACTCACCACAACCGTGATCGAGGTCAACAAACACCTGATGACACCGTATGTGACATGCAAGGCCCTCGGCAGACAGAGCCAACAGCCACTCTGCCTGCTATCAAGGAAGTTGGAGTGTGGGATGTCCAAGGAAAACATTCAGCCTGGACTTCGTTTTCAACAAAGAAGAGTTAGCCTGGTGAAGAAGAGGAAGAATTCTACTGCAAAGAGTACAGCCCATGGAAAAGCACATGTGGAGAAAAATGGAGCACTTGGGGGGATCAGCATCACCCAACATGGCTGAGGAGGCTGGTGCAAGCTGTAGAGCAGAGAAAGACGGCAGAATGAATAGGGTTCAGAGGGAAGAAGATGAATACCAGATTAGACAGTCTGAGATTCAGCGAGTCAACTCTAAGAGGTCCAAGTGAAAACATCCAGCATGCACTTGGGTCAATGGTTTGGAGCGCAAATTCAAAGAGAGGGAAAAGAGGTGAGATGCTGGGAAGAATCCTGGGGTGCTCAAAGAGTTCAGGATAAGCTCAGGGAAAAGAGCTTGCAAATGAAGCTGAGGAAGAGTACTCAGACAGGAGTCAAACCAGCCAGAGCAGTACTAGCCAAGCCAACGGCAGAGAGAATTTCAGAAGGAGACCGTGGGAAGAGCGTCAAATGTTGAGCTGAGATTAAAGAGAAGAAAAAGATGGGGTTCAGAGATCACCCTGTATTTGGCCCTGAGCTCCCCTTGGAGGGGGCCTCTCGGTGTAGCAGTAGAGACAGGCCCATGAATGTAAGACAAAGCGTTCCATTCCCCATCATGTTCTAGCTTCGGCCAGAGCAAACCTAGCAGGAAGAGCAGCATTAAGGGAGAAGTTTCCCTGGGGTGACAATTTCACATGCAGCTTGGAAAGGAGCAGCAGGGAATGCAGAGGATGCAGGTGTGGGAAGAGAACTGAGGATGCAGGAGCAGGGGAGAACTCAATGAGCAGGTCATGAGACACCTCTCCCTCCATACCTGCAGATTAGAGCCGTGGGAGGAGGCCAAGGAAAGAAAGGCTAAGGGGTGTTTGCTAGAGAGACAGGCAGGCTGGCCTTCCCCCAGCTCAGGAGCTCCAGTAGCCCCTGTTGGGAAAGGAGGTGAGTCTGCCCCCCAGAACCAGGCAGCCTGAAAAGAATTGACTATGCTATGCCTGCAGGCAGGCCTTCTGCTGTGAAGAGGCACTGTGGATCTTAGAGACTATTTGAAAGTCTTCTTAGCCCACAAGCATTCCTTTTGCTTGTTGATAGAGGCCTGACATTTCCTGAAAGACGAGCTCCAGGAAAGGGCACCACATGGTATTTAAAATGCAAGGCCAACGTCATACATCACGCATACAGATGAGACAGTCTGACGAGGCCTATGTATGGCTCCTATCCGCAGACTTAGTCAGAATCAACTGCTTGCAGAACCATTCCTCTTCCCGGAAAGCATCTCCAATTCTGATTTAAGTACGTGATGATTCTTAACACCGATGATCAAAACAAAACATGCACTTGAATGAAAGCATTCAGTCATAAAGAGCCTGAAGTTCAAGGGCACGTGAACTACACTGCTACCTGGTCCCAGCTGGTTTTTGATGGGGAGGAGGATATGAAATAGACTGGAGACCTGACAGAAGAGCCTGCCCAAGAAAGGGGGGGGGCAAAGAAGAGGCACAAACTGCATGTTCTGGACAAGGTCCCAACTGGGGGGGAGGGCGCCCCCCCTCTGGCACAGCTGACAGCACCAGCTGTGTAGTGGGGGGCAGGGGGCAGTGAGGCCCTCTGACCCCTTCTGTGTCTCTACTACTAGGAGCAGGGCAGCGAGCTTACAAGTGCACCCTGCCGTGAGGGCTAGTGGGTGGAGGCAGCTAGGGGCCACGTGTGGACCTGCCCAGTGACTTAGCGCTCCTGCAAGTCTCAGCTACTGACTTAGCGCTGGGGGTGCAAGTCTCAGTTCCTGTGTTCGGTATCCCCTATAAATGCTTCAGGGCAAGGCTTCCAGCACCCACAGGGGAGGGGTTAAATTGGGCCGGCTGGGCTGGCGGGAGAGGTACCTGAAAGGTTTGCTGTCAGGGTCGCTGTCCTTGAAGCCCATCTCCTCCAGCTTACAGCGGCGATACAGCTCGTAGTGCCGGCTGTGCGTCTGCTCCCGCAGGTCCTCCATGTTGACCCGAATCAGCATCTCCCGCAGCTTCACAAAGTCGCAGTGGGCCTCATTTTCAACTGCATAACAGGGGAAGGAGACTGAAAGGAAGGCCAGAGGGGGAGGGGAGAGGGGTAGGAGTGGGGGGGGGGGGGGAGGGGCCCAAGGGAACATGGTGGAGGATCGTGGGGGCACTGCTGGTGGGCAGGGTGTGAAAGCACACATTTGTGGGGGTTTCAACCTATAACCCCAAAGCAGATACAGAGATGTAAACCTACTTTACCTCAGTGAACATCATTTGGGGGGAAAAATTCCTAAGACAGTCAGCAGCGCCTCAACCCAAATTCACCAGACGCTGACAGGTATGTGTGCTCTTTTGTACCTCTTCTAGGACAGTAGTGAGCATACACGCAGCCAACAGCTCAAGGCATATTTGTGCAATCCTTGTTCCCAGTACCCATACCAGGCCATCAGAATTCAGAAACAACATCACAGAGTCCTGCTCTCTGGAGCTTACAGGTCAGTGGAAAGATGAGTGCCAATAGCTATAAAACCATGCAAAAATCCTGAAAATGGAGGTACAGATAGCCTACAGACAATGAAAGCCCAGAAGAGGGGACCAAGGACTCCTAGGAGACTGAAGATTTAGCGAAAGAAACAACCCCTAGGATACCTCTTGCAGGAGGAATCACACTTTATCAGGCAGAGAAGGGAGTGGTTAGGCCAGGTTTCAGAGCTAGCAAGTTGCAGAGTTAGGCTCTGAAAGCACACTAGGGGGTTAGCAAAGGCAGTGGCCAGGTGCCAATGTCCCTATGAAGAAGGGGCATGCACTAGGACATCAACAGGCTGGTGACGCAGGGCTGTGGACCACTCATCCACTTGTGGTGCTCTGGATGGTAGGAACCATAAAAGCAGGTGTTATGTAGGGGGTGGGCTCACAGCTGTGCTGGTTACTAGGATATAGCGGACTCTGCCTTCTGCCTCCTCAAAAGAGCACAGTGAAGGTCTGTATCTCGGGCAGTGACCACGAAGGGCAGTGATGTGGCCCCAAGTCATACTAAGTGGACGTGTGGTAGGAACCATCACCAGGTTGTGAGCAGGGTTCTGGCGCATGTCTCCAGGCCTGACTCCAGTGTCAGAATAGGGGTGTCTGACTTCATTAGGTAGGGACAGTGGTTTTTGAGATAATGAACATGCACACTCACCCCAGATCCCGTCTTTCAGGAGAGGGGAGCGGGAATAGGATGGTAAGTGTGATGAAAGGGCTGGGCACGCAACAGACTGTCTGGCAGTCATCAGAATAATCTTCCCCAAGGGCCCACATGTGAGCTGTGCCTAAGCTCGCTGCCTTTGGGCGGAAGTCCTTGCTGTCACAGAACATAAGCTACTACTAAAAATTGCATCTGCCTGCAACCTTACCTCGTGTCTCCAAACGGTGATCAATGATCGCTGCCAATACACAGCTTCTTCCTCACCTGAACACACCACTGAACCCAGACTTCCCCGGAAAACTGTCAAACCCCTTCGTCGTTTAGATCTGGGGCGACCTCCATCGGAGGAAGTTTTTCGAATCACGTCTGTGGGCCTCTCCTCTTTTGCTCTCTCAGACCATCCATTCTTCGCCAGGCCCGACAGAAGCCACTGGCAAATATTCTAAGTGGTGTCTCCAGCCCCAGACAGCAAAGCAGACCAAAACCTAGCCCAGCTGTGTTCACCAGTTCTCATGTGCCTGTGGAAGCCCAGCTATGGCTGCCGGGGCTCCCGGGTGGCCTGAAACCAGCTCTGTGACGTGGACAACTTCCCAGCACTTGCAGATGTGTGTTACAGTGAAACTGGACCTCACACTTGGTGCCCCCCACAACCCTGAGCTGTGTTTTACCCACAGAAATGACTAGTGCTGGGACTAACTTAACATATGCCTAGCAGACCGCAAAGAGAACTTTCTCCTCGATATCAATGCACACTATTACTTGTTTTTAAATTGCAAAGTAATTATAAACACAAGAGTACATAAAGTGTGAACATGCAACCTAATTTTTTCTCAACCTAAATTTAAAAACAAAGCAAAACAAAACAAATACTAACGTGTCCAGCCATCAGGTGAAAAACTATCAAAACCTCAGAAGTCCGCTAATGTCCCTTGTACTCCTCAGAGCCTCCCTCCTGTAACAAGAACTGAGCACTCTCCAGAGGTAGGGGTTTATCATTCCTTTGTTTCATAGCTTTGCCACTTACATATGAATTCCTAAAGGCATTTATCTCGGGGGTTTTGAGGTCCGCTTTTGGAATTCATATATGGAATCATACAGCGGGTATTTTCTGTGACTCATTTAGCTCAGTGTTATGTATCTAGGGTGCATTCGTGTAGAAGTACCCACAGTCCATTCACTTGGGCTGCTGTCTAACATCCAGTTATTTGAATATTCCACGCTTGGTCCAAACTATTTTTAATGGCTCTGTGGACGGTGTCTAGTTATTGGCTGTTACAAATAACACTACTGGGAAAATTCTTGCTTGTCTCCTGTCCCACTTGGGCAAGTCTATGTGCTTTCTAGCACGCTCCTTTTGACCAGATACATTTGTTTCTGTTTTAGGAATGTTTCCTCTATGACAATCAGGGAGAGCTTACTCATGGTAGCGAATCCAGGTCTGGAGTGGGAGTTTGCCTGTTGATGGCCCCTATGGCTGTTTGCGGCCTAAGTCAAATGAACAGAACGTGGGACAAGTGTGAGGCGAGTTACACAGTGACTGGAGGCAGACAGTGTGCCGAGGGTAGTCCCTCTCCTGGAGACTCACTCACCCTGCACTGTGCCCCACGGGTACTGCCGGGCCTTCATCATCTTGTTGCCTATCTTCAGTTCCTCTGTACTGCCAATGACAGCAAATGGCAGGTGGGCCTGAAACAAGGCAAACAAAAGCTCAGAACTCGGGGGAGGGGCAGTCCGCATCCCATAATGCAACTGTTGCTCATCTTGGGGGGGGGCTCAGGTCTCATGTTGCAGAGTTCCTCTGTCAACATCAACAGGCATTTATTAAACTCTGGAGCTGTGTGGGGATGCGAGGCCTGGCCCAAGCTTCTGCCATTAGGAAATTCACAGCAGAAGTTAACAATGATGTGGCTGAATGCAGAGGGAACAAAGAGAAAATAAGCAGAGAAAGAAGCAGATACAGATGAACTGGCTCTTCAGGATCCATAGCCGCCGCGGGGAAGAGCCTTTTTGAAGGGCAGCAGTGGGAAGAGGCTGAAGGAGAACCAGGGGGCTGGGGCCCCCGGTTCACGCCCCTCCTGGAGTGTGAGACTCCCGAGAACAAGTATAATACTGAAGCCACACAGAGACTGAGCTGTGCCCGAACTTGTCCTCTTCCTTCTGTGAGCACACGCTGAACTCTCGAGCCTGGAAGTCAAGTTCCTAAGTATTGACCCACATGTCCATTACCATGCTAGGTTCTTTCAGGTGCCCTGAGGGAGACAAAAAAAAGTATAAGACACAGTCCCTCGCTTCCAGGAGCTTACAATCTTGTTGGGGAAGCCAACATTCATACTCAAAATCACAGAAGACAGCAAGGACTCAAATCTATGGTCTGGTATCCTGCACACAGCAGGCACTTAATAAATCTTCTCTGAATGGCAGTGACAGGACTCTGCAAAGAGTAGAGGAACGGAAGGCAACATACAAAGAGTGCACATACGACGAACCTGGTGCTTACAAGGAGGAGGAGCTAGGCCGATGGAGGCTTTGTGGGTCACGAAGCAGCAGCTGCTCCCAACTGGTGGAATGGGGTCTGCGAACACAGCACCCAGTTGCACCCAGTAGTGAGGGGCAGATCTAGGGGTAAAACCCAGGTCTGTCTGTCTTTAAAGCCCACCCTGCTGTCTGCCCAGAGAGTGCGACACAATACACCCTGTGGTGAGGTGGTTGTGCAAGGTCGGATGACAAGAGGCAGGTCCATTTATGAAGAAGCACCGCAAATCTGGGGTTTTGTTTAAATGTGGAGCTGTCCAGGGGATAAATGCTGAGCGACCCCTCAGCCAGATGGAGCCACTGGATAAAAATTGTTTAAAAATCAGGTGATGCCAGGTGGGACTCTGCCCCAAAGAGTTTTACACTGACAAGCAAAAAGTCCGCTGCAACAAGCTTTCTTTGCTTGCCTGGAGACACAGGCCTTGATCACAGGTGTTCTGACCCATTAGCTCATTCCTCCACTCCACAAATATTTACTGGGTTCCTACCATGTGCTGGGCATTGAGACAAGCACAAAGCTGAACAAGCTCAGAGTCTGTCCCTTGAGAGTGCCCACTCTACTGGGGGGAGAGACATTTTACGAACCATAACGTAGGAAGGTGGTCCAGATGATCAACAGAGGCTGGAGGGCTGGAGGGCCACAGAGTTGGGAACAGCTAGCGTCGTGGGGGAAGTCAAAGCAGCTTCACTGAGAAGGCAGAAGCGACCCTAGTAACAGTGTTGGCAGCTACAGAACTGGCATCAGCAGCACCAGCAATTTATTTGGTTCGATATACTGAGCCCCAGGGGCTCTGTACTATCTTATTGAATTTAAAAAAAATGTTATTAAGGTAACATTAGTTTACAGCACCGTATGTGATTTAGAGGTATAGGTTCACACCTCTTCTGGTGTGTGTTATCACACCACACCGGACACAAAGACACTATATTCCACCAGCATCAGCCCAGTCCTTTGTGTCCCCTCTCCATTTTGCTTCCTCCTTCCCCCTCCCCCTCTGGTAGCTTCAATTGTACAGTCAGATTTCTATCTACCTTTTGTTATTGGATTGGTTTTTATCTGACCCTTTGCTTTGTTTCTCTAAATCTCATTGAATCTTGGCAACAATGCTGTGAGGGGGTATTCTTAGGGTCCCTATTTTAAAGAAAAGAAAATGAGGCCAGAAAATGACTAAGTAGGACCCACCCTGGTGGCACAATGGGTTAAGGCACAGCACTATGAAGCTCTCCAAAACCCCTGCAGCACAAGTTCCACGCAGCAGCCCTCGCCTGTCTCACCCACCGCCCCCCTCAGCAGTGTATTTCAGCCCATCTGCCTGTTCCACTCCCTACTCTGTCTCTGGTGAATCCTCTCACCCCCCCCCCCCACCTCTGGCCTACAACCCAGTCTTTGTATGCATAAGTAAATAAATCTTAAAATAAAAGGACTAAGTAACTTGCCAATAGGCACCCAGTAGTGAGGGACAGAGCTAGGGATCGAATCCAGGTCTGCCTGTCTTCAAAGCCCACCCTGCTGTCTGCCAAAGGAGGGCAACACACTACCCCTGCAGTGAGTTGGTTATGCAAGGTCAGATGACAAGAGGCAGGTCCATTTATGGAGAAGCACCGCAAATCTGGGTTTTCATTTTAATCTGTCGGCTATTTTCACAGCCAACCCTTCCTCTGCATTCTCTTAGCTGCAACTATGAAGGTCTTTTGGAGTGGAAAAACCCGGGTCTTAATCAGGAGCTCAGCTCCCAGATATCCACTAATCCTTCAAAGTGCTTGACCATCCAGCAGAGGGCCTCCCCACTCCCCTCTCTCACCTCCGGTATCCCACTCTGCTGACTGTCTTTGAAACAGGAACAGAGAAAGAGGTGGTTATGGATAGGAAAGTGGGCAGTACCCACTTGGTCCTGGTGCCTCATCGGTCCTGGTAGGAATAGATGACCATGGGACACCTTGGCGCAGGTAGTCACTGAATTCCCCAAAACCCTGCTCAAGGACCAGAGCACCGCTAAACACTTCACAGTTGGCTTTGGAAAAGGGGGTCATCTGGGCACAAGTCATTCCCACTTAGGAGCCTAAGACATGTTGGGGTGCCTCAAATCCACCCCTAAATATTCTGGGAAAATGTTTCTTTTCCTGTAGAGACCCCAAAACATGGGTCTTGAGACACAAAAAATCCAAGGGGCAGTGATGGCAGACAGCTAGACCGAGGGAGGAGGTGAGAAAGAGAAACCAAGTTGTAGGATTCTCGCATATTCTGGGCGCTCAGAGGAAAGTGATGGAGGAAGAGGGCGGGGTGTGAAGAGGGAAGAACTTCTTTGGGCTCAAGAGAGAAGAAAAAATCTAAGAAGAAAATAAGGCCTCAAAATTGTCAGTATTCCCTTGGCGCTGTTATTTTTATCTCAAAAAAAAAAACAGCTGGAATGACAGGGTCACTTGCTTCCTCTCTTCCTTAATTGCTGTCTTTTTATCCCTCCCTGCTCAAAAACACAGAGCCCCCACCAAAGCAGCTTCAGAAAGCTCCCGAGACCTCCCACGGCACACTCCTATGCAACTGGCATCAAAGTCTGCTCTGCTGAGATATACTAGGATATCATTTCCCAGGGCTCCTTGGCAGATTTCACTTGATTCTCATGAGGGCCTTAGAGGGTGTTTATTATAGCCCCCCATTCATGATTTGGGGGAAATGACACAATGAAAGGTGAAATGGGATGCCCAGGTCCCTAACTCCATGCCCAAATCTGCCCAGGGAGCAGTGAGGACACTGTGTTTTAGCGGGAAGCCACCCAGGGTGCCATCTTCTGGAAGTCAGCTAGCATGAAGGGTGGGCAATCACAGGGCAGGCTCTGGGCCTCTTCCTGCTCTTACGAGAGCATGACAGCTGTGACCACCAGAATGGAATCTGAGCAGAGCAGGGAGAAGGTCAGCACACCTCCCCCCTCCAGTTACACTCACACAGCATTTGAATCTCAAGCCAGGCTTTCAGCTTCTTCTTCAGGTCCCTGCAGGACTGTCGGGGCACAGTTTGTATATGTAGGTCCAGACAGGAGACTTCGATAGAGGCCAGACAGGCCTGCTGCTGAGATATGGACAGGCTCCTCGTGGGAGTCCAAATGTCAGCAAAGAGACTTCTGCTGAGGTGCTTGCCACACACCCAGTGTCAGTCTCTCTCTTTTTTAAAGATTTATTTATTTATGAATACAAGAACTGCGGTACAGGCCAGAGGTGCAGGGTGTGTGTGAAAGGATTCACCAGAGATGGGGGGGGGGGCGCAGAACAGGCAAATGGACTGACATACACTTCTGAGGGGAGCAGAGGGCGAGACAGGAGGGATCTGCGGTGCCACATGGGTCACCTCCCTGGCCGGGGATCAAACTTGTGCTGCAGTGGCTGCGGACAGTTTCACAGTGCTGCTTTTTAACCCCCTGTACCACCAGGGTGGCCCCTAATGTCAGTCTCTATCTGGAACTCATCCCAAACTTCTTGGGAGTCTGTTCCCTGATTCACTGCCTTCACTGTCTCATATCTGACTTGAATGCCTTTTAGGTACATTTTAAAGTATCTGATGACCCCATTGGTCTGAATTATTCTATTCTGGTCTCACCACCTCCGTGATAGTTGGGAGATCAGACCATCCATCGTTCTCCTAATAGAGAAATAGAGACTGTGACGAACCCCCATTCCTCAATAATCTCAGCATTGTGTGTGGCTTTCTCCCAAGGGATGACTTAAGTCCCAGTCATGAGCTGGTTATGCTTACTCCCCTCTCAGACTTCTGCTGATGACTGAGTGAGAACATTGCCTGATCCTCTCTTAAGTCAACATTTTGTGATTCCCACACAAGTTTGTCCAAACAATGGAAAGGGGACTACTGTCTCAGAAGGGTGACAATGGCACTGCTGTCTCCAGGGAAGGGACAAGCCTTGTGCCTGGGGTCTCCCTGTAAGCCTACTAGATACCCACGTGCTCTCATGGAGCTCAAGTCTCTTGGGGGGCCAAACCCAAGAATTTGCCAATGGCCAAGCAACTGAACCGAGTCAACTAACTGGATCCCCGGCTGTGGTGTGTCTCATTCAAAGGACATTTCATTTCAACAACATAGCAATTTTTAGTATTAACCTTGAGCTGTAATTAAACTCTGAGAGCTACCAGGGTCTAGCTTGATTGTAGCCTGCAGTAAGAGCTCCCATTCCCTTTTCTGGCCCCCTCAATGTGAAATCAGTTTTGCACAGCCACTCAAAAAACAAGTAATGACACCTCATTACTCTCATTTTCTCCCATTAGTAGGGAGCAGCTAAGTAGTTCTATGGTCTTAGACAAGCTTCTTTCTCTTCTTCCAATCTAGTTCTCATTGGCAATTAGCTGGGGTGGCTGAGACTGGGGCTGGAGTCAAATCTAAAATTCCTCCTATCGCCCTGGTCTGGGTCTCTGATGATTCAGCTTCATACATCACAGCTTTAGACATAGTTGTTCTGGCAGTGACTCCCCACCCTTCCCCCCACCACAACACACAAAATAGCATTCACCTGCACGTCCTCCTCCCGCGGGCATGCCCAGTTCCAGAGAGCCTGGCTGACAGGCCAACCCTCTCTTTCCCATTCAAAAAGGCAATGGAATGAATGTCGCATGACATTATTACAGGGATCACACTGAATCTGCTCAAATTTTGTTTTTCAAAGGGAAACCCTAGCAAATTTGAACCAGTGTAAGAAGCCAGAACTCCATCATAGCCAAGACAGCCTCTTGGAGAACTACTGCTTTACAGCCTGGCCAGGGACAGCCCAGGAGGTCTACAAACTTGACGCTGCCCTAGATTCTAGCAGGAAGGAGGCAAGAGCCTGGCTGAGCTCAGAGGCCAGGGCGACTGTCGCTCCTGAGCTCCAGCGTAATGGAATGGGGTTTGTGTGACATCTGGAACTGCTGAGAGCTCCCTACCCACTAGCAAAGCAAACCATAGCCTGACAAGTCAGGGAACCTGAGGCCTGGCAGCGTCTACGGGGACAGGAGCTCTGAGGTGAGTAGGCCCTTCAAGACCTCAGTGCCAGTAACCCCAGAAAGGTGCATCGTTCCAGGCTCCCATTTCTCGGCTGGCTAGGCCTTTTTTTTTCCATTTCCTCATCATAACTGAGCCTGGTTTCCAAAAACCCTGCCTGCTTAAGAGGCAACAAGCTCTCATCTTTTATTTTTTCTTCCTTTTTATTTTTAGGCAGTTTTGGGCTTTATTAATACAGTACGCGCACAGGCGCTGGCCGTTCGCGCTCTGCGCCACGCAGCCTGGCACTGGGACAGGTGGTGCAGGCAGCCCGCTGTGCTGCTCTTCCCACGCGGCCCTGTGAGCCATCTCAGCACAGTGACATGTGCTGTCCATCAGCGCCACTTGGGGCTCCTTGGCATTGTGCACCAAGAACTTCTGGAAGCCACTGGGCAGCGTGTGCTGTATTTTCTCGCTCCCTGGTGCATCAAGGTCTAGCCCTTGGGCCTGTGATCGATGCCTCTGAGTTCCTGCCAGTTATGACATATTGGTCTGACTGGTGCCAGATAAACTTCCTCGTCCTCTTATTGACAATCTTACACTTCCTGAGAGGTCTGAGGGTGACCATGATGCTAGTGGGTGACAGCGGCCACCTCCAGAGGGAACGCCCAGGAAGAGAAGACACGACTCCACCTACCACAACCCACACACCTCACTCGTAGACCAGATTTGTCACAGATGATGAGGGACGTCTAATAACAAACAGCTCAGGTGTACGACTGGGCAGGAAGTCAGGCGAGACAATGACTTGCTGTCCCAATAGGCTAATTTGTTGGCCAATGCCTAGGAGGTGGCAGCTGATGTTATAATGATAACCTAGGGGGCAGTGGAAGCAAGAAAGCTTTCTAGAAATGACTTTTATTACAAGGTTTTCCAGAGTCTGGCTATACCCAGGCATTATGTCATTAGGAAAAACTGATGCCTCTCAGCAGAGAAAAAGAAATCTGTTCTCCAAGCAGAGGCTTTCTGAAAGCTATTAGCTGTCTCCTTCAAATCACAACATTGAAGATTTCACAGCAACAGCATCAACACGTTGTAAAGAAGCATGAGGAGATATTTGACTCTCTGCCTTCTTCATTACTCATCCTCTGGTGGGGTGGGGGGAGAAGAGGAAAGATGGCAAAGTGGGTTTTTTTTTATTCATTCACACTTAATAAAGCAAAATATAACCCTGATACTTAAAAATTACATCTCTCCAGTCACCAACCAAATTGGAAGCAAACGTCTTATTTCCTCCCGGGGGCACAGGGCTTGATTATCTGAGTCAAGAATATTCCTGAGTCTCCGAAGTCAGTCAACTGTTTCAGCCTGCCCTTCTTTGGGTACACCAGTGGTCAGACATTGTTTTGGTCAGAGGCAAGGACTGTTTGCCTTCCCAGCAGTCCAGTGAGGGCCGCTTGGCCTAGACCAGAACTTTAAAACAGTAAAGGGGGTGGGGGACGGAGAGGGGAGAAATGGCAGGGGAGGAGAGGGAAGACCTGAGTCCCCTGCTGCAGCCACTTCCTGGAGTCAGCCTTTGCCCTTGCATTTTCCTCATCTCCATTATTAATCTCTGCACCTCTGAGGCTTCAAAGCAGCTACCGCTGGCAGAGAGGAGCTGTTTGGGATCTGGATTCTCTCACCTGACACTCGAATAATTAAGAGATGAATGCACTAAGATGGAGGGTGAAAATGTCTGGCTGCTATTTTATAGATGAATGACTGGATGAATATATGGATTTTTAAAAGCAAATGACCCAAAAGTGGGAAACCCGTGTGCCCACTCACGTTCATGGTTCCGTTGATCTCTGCCACTGATTCATCATCTGTAGGAAATTGATAGATCTGGACACCGTTGCTGACAAGCTCGCTGGTGATTTTGATTTTGAACTTTGCTAGCTCACTCTTAGAAATGGCATCTGATTTGGCGATGATGGGGATGATGTTCACCTATGAAAGGGAGAGGCAGAGGGAAGTAACTGTTGGTTAATCACAACTGACAGCAGGATGAACTGAAACCTCCTCCAGTTGCCAAAGGGAGTGCTCAACCCAGTGGTCTGTGATGGCCACTTCTGCAGCCAAATAACAACAAATAACAAGTGCTTGCTATGTGCTGGGCACTTGGCTAAGTGTTTTACAAGGATTCCACAATTAATCATGACAATAGCCCTTCCAGGAGGTATTACTGTCACTAATTTACCATGAGAAACTGAGGCAGAGAGAGGTTAAGTAACGTCCAAGGCCACAGAGCAGGTAAAGAACAGAACTGGGATACAGACACAAGTCTGGCCTTATCCCTAAATCCAGTCTTAACCACAAGCTGTCTAGTAGTTCAGATCCAAATGATGAGCCCTGTGGTATTTTAATATCAAGGTCACTCCTTTGGGTTGTTTGAAGCAGAAAAATGCAAGGGGAGACGTAGCCACTCCTTACTAACCATGAGCAGCTCCAATCCATCCAGTGCAGGCTACCCCAGTGAGCGTGACAGGGACCCAGCCGGCATGGCAGAGAAGGGGGAGGGCGGTGAGGAGAAACACCTGGCAGCAGACACTCAGGAAGAACAGCTTTGCAGTCACCCCTTTTACCTGAGACGTATGCACAAAGGTTATACTGCCTGGGTCTCATGAATAATTTCCACCCAATTTCAGACAGCAGGGAAAAGCTGCGATGCTGCCCCAAAGTTCAAGCCACCTCAACCTGATCTTTAGAATTCCTCGGAGAAGGGACAAACCTTTTACTGTCAGAAGGTAAAGGATCTTGAAATGCACAGACTTTAGGAGACAGCTCCGTCGCATGGAGAGCACAGCCGTTCCTGCCAGCAGAAGCCACGGGCGTGACAATGGTGGGGGCTCAGTAGCTGAATCTCTGAAAGGAGGACTCAGGGCTCTACCCTTGGGACATAAACCCTGCCCCTTCTGCACTGCACCCTAACAGCACCACTACACCGCGCAGGACGACCTGTGCTGGGTCAGAGAAAGATGGGACCTTGAAGTCTTCAGAGGAGGGGCATTGAGGGTCAAAGCCCTTGCCAGGATGGAACAGCAGGCACAGCCAACTCTCATTGCTTTTCACCACGCCTCCACTGGCACACTATAACCATATGCCAAAATCTGCTACTTAACCAGCCCACCCACCAGGCCACCAGCTGCATGGTAGCCGCCCTATCCAGCATGGCAGCGGGCTCATTGCAGGAGAAAATGGAAAAAGGCTCCTGTTTTGACTGTAACTGAAATTCAGTTTTTATAGGGCATGTGCTACTAGGTAACTGTACACAAATTCGGTTTTTTGGTTTAAAAAAAGTATTTTTGGAAGCAGAGGTAGATCCGGACCGCAGGTCCGTGACAATTTGTCTGAGCCCGAACAGGCTACTTGCCGCTCTGTGCCTCAGTTTCCCCATGTTTAAAATGGGAACATAATAGTGGTCACCATTGCTGGAAAGATGAAACGACATAATGCATGGAGGGAATTTATCGCAGCCTCAAACACAGACAAAAGAAAGGGAGAAAATGTACTAGTAATCAGGCTTTTTTAAAGAATCTGTGATCAGTATTTTTGTAGAGCAAGTGATCTTTTAACATGAAAAATCACTGTCTAATTCATATAGCTGGTGGGCTTTGCATTTTTCAGTTTCTCATAAGCAGGACAAGCCTGATGCCCATGGGTCTTTTTCAGGGATGCCGGTAATAAAGCTCTGGAGGGTCGTTTCTCTTTATGACAATCTTTCTGTGCCTCAGTTTTCTCTTCTGTAAAACAGAAGATAATGACAGTGTTTGCTTTCTAGGGTTGTAGCAAGGATTCTGTGAAATATCCCAGAGGTACTTAGCACAGTGATGGCACATAATGAGAGTGGAAGGAATGTTCGCTGCTACTCTGAAATTCTGCTTGATGATAAGCATCACTTTCAAAGTCAAGTTTGCATGTTTGATTCTAGTACAGGTCAGTTATTATTCAGACAAAGCAAAAACACTTTTCCATTGTAAAGCCCGGGCCTTAAGTTCGAGCCTCAAGGCCCTGAGCCCCAGTTCTTGTATGCATAAATAAATAAAAATAAATTACAAAAAAAAAGAGCACTCCCAAAAGGAAGCCTTAACCCCAGATAGTCACCTTACTTGCTTCTACCCTTATTCCCAAGAGGAATCACAGCAAAACAACTCAGGACAAACTCACGCCCGGTGCTGGGGAAACAGATCACCAAGCCTACGACCCAGGTGTTGGATCAGCACCACCATCTTTATGGAGAGACAGAAAGTGGAAAGAATGAGGAAGCCACATCCTCAGTAAGAGCGCGTCCAGCTTGCCCAGCCTCCTACGGGCCATCGTGCTGTACTATATCATACCTTACTGTCCAGCTTCTTCATCGTCACTAGGTCCAGGGACTTCAAGGAGTGACCCGTGGGGGCGATGAAGTACAAGCAGGCATGGATGCGGGAGTCATGGTAGCTGTGCAGCACCCTGCGGATCTTCAGCTCTTCCTGCAGGTAGGCCTCGAACTGGGCGTCGATGAATTCTACAATAGGCTTATAGCTAAAGGAAGGGAAGGGAGATGTCTGGATCACCTCAAAAACCACCTGTAAGGCCTCCCTGGTGACACGGGGGATAAAGTCTCAGCGTTACCAAGAGATCGCAGCCACTGTCCCTGACGGCCAGGGAGGTGACCCACATGGCACAGTAGACCTCTCCTGTCTTGCCTGTTGCTCCCCTCAGCAGTGTGTTTCAGTGACTCCACCTGTTCTGTTACCCACTCTGTCTCATGAATCCTCTCACCCCTACACCTCTGGCCCACACCCCAGTTCTTGTATGTATAAATAAATAAAAATAAATCTTAAAAAATAAAACACTCCCACGAGGAAGCCCAAAATGTCCTTGACCATGTCTCTTCCCCATTCAGTGGGATCCCTCCCATCCCATCAGGCTGACCTGAGATAAACTTAAGCCCCTCGATGTGGCTTACTCACACCCCAAACCTGTCCTCCCTGACTCAGGGCTCAATTGAATGTCACCTCCTCCAGAGAACCTTTGGCAGTGATGTCAGAAATCCCTTCTGTGGCCCGGGAGCCCAAGAAAAAATGTTTATACAATTGAGTCACCTATCGTCCCTCTGCAAGGATTCATGTTCCTGCAAACAAACTGCTTTCTTCAAAATGGTAGGGACTGTGGGGGCATTTTCTATGCCCCATGCGCCTTGACACTGCATGGATCCCACTGGCAGTATCTGCGGATGGGCTGACTGAGGTGCAGGCTGGCCCACACCTTCCATTCCTGGGTCCCCATCCTCCCATCCATTGTCTGGCACAGGAGCTGGGTACTCAGTGGAGGTCAGGACCTTCCCTAGATCCACTATTGAGAAATCCTGTCAGAACACTCAGTGTTTATTGGAGGTCCTCACTTGGCTCCTCTAAACTCCAGATATTTTCACAGTGCCTCCAAGGTTGTCATTTTAAAATTTAAGCATCTGGAAAAACTTGCTGAGATACTCCTCCTTCAGCCTAACCTCCACCACAGGCTCTCTGAGGCCCCAGGCAAAGCTCCCCTCTGTGACCTTCACATCTTGCCAGTCCTGAAACAATAGTCATTCCTCTGTTCCTCCCTGCCATGGGAGATTCTTTGTCCCTCCCAGCCCTTCCCGCCACCTCTGCAGCCTCTTTCTACTCTAACTAGGTCAAATTCTGGCAGGGCTTGGCCTCAGCCCTGCCTCTGTTATCTACCTGCCTCTCCAGTGGGGAGTTTCCTCCCTTCAGGCTAGAAGTGGTTCGTTATCCAACCTGAGGTAGTGAAGGTGCAGCTAACATGGCCAAAAGCGAGCACAATCAAAGGGGAGCAGGGCCCAGCCAACTCCTTTCACCTGCAACAGCCCCCCAACCTGAGGCCTCTTGACAGATTCCCCCTGGTAGAGAAGGGAAAATAGCTTTTCAAAAAAGAACCACAGAAATCTAGACCCTGAGAGTTACACACAGAGAAGAGATCAGGTGCAGGGGAGCTCTGGAGCCCCCGAGAAAAATCTAAAAATACAGTCCCTTCTTTTTTCCTTTGATCCCTCTGAGCCAGACATGTTCTAAAGGGTAATAGCATCAAAGATTCTCTGGGTTGCAAAGATCTTGAGAAGGTTCCTGAAGAATTAGGAATGAGGGTGGAGGATGCATCCCGTTGGCTCAGCTGATTAATTTTTAGATGACTAGCTGGTTTGAATGATGGGATCTTGACACTGCTTCATTTTTTTCCTCATTACATAACTTTTTGTTTTTTGTTTTGTTCTGCAAAAGGTATCAAAGGAGGAAAGAAAAGATTGAAATATTCAGCCCTCCCCCACCCCCACCCCCCAGGCCTATATTTCTGCTGCTGCCTCTGGCCTCTAGGGTCTCTGAAGAGATGCACGGAACTGGTCAGCGAAACCAGCCAACCAAGCATCAGGATTGGGTTCAGACTAATCCTCAATGTGACATTCCTTGTTGCTTTAGCCACTCTCCAGTCTTCTCTATCTGGTACGATATCTGGAATCTAGTGGAGGTGCCACTGGCCACTCTGCTCTCATGCCCCCACTCCGCGTGGCTCATCTTCCCACTGGGGGCAGCCCTCCCCCAGACTCTGCTTTCTTCACTGTACTCCAGCCTCTGGTAAACAAAATCTCTTCCTCTCAAAGGAAACTCCTCAAAAAAATGCATCCAGCCCTCCTTGGTGGCACAGCGGGTTAAAGCACAGCACTAAGAAGCTAAAGTCACTTCCGCATGAGTTCCATCCCTGCCTGCCCCGGAGGCGACCACATGGTGTGGCAGCCCTCTCCTGGCCCGCCCGCTGCTCCCCTCAGCAGTGCACTTGTCAGTCTGCCTGTTCTGCTCCCCACTCTGTCTCTGGTGAATCCTCTCACCCTCCGCATCTCTGGCCTGTACCCCAGTTCTGTATGAATGAATAAATAAATCTTTAAAAAAAATGCATCCTTCCTCTAGGTGATACCTGACTGCTTTTCAAAGATGCTGCTTCCCACATAAACTTCTCAACTGGAAATTTCTACATGTCCCACAGCTAAGTTTCATGAGGGGGTGGAGAGGGCAGCTCTCTTCATTGTTCCCTGGCTTACTATCATCTCCTTTTGCCCACAAAACCCAGCTCTATTGCACTCCGCCCCTCTCCATCACTACTATTTATCTTTGCTTTCAAGGCAAAGTTCTTAACCTGGGGGGCCTTGGATTTGAATAGGGAAAAAAACACATTTTTTCCCACTAAACTGAAGTTTAGAGTACAGAACAGGGACAAACACAAGTAACCAGCTACAGTAATTTTAGCAGTACCTGTGATTTCATAACCAATAAATAATCACTGATATTTTTGTTCCCTATTACAGTTCTCAAAATATCTCAAAATTACATTTATACTCATCACATCTTCTAAATTATTATATTATTAGGCCTACATGTAGATATTATTATTTCAGAAATTAGTAAAGAAGCACATGGGTTATAAATCACAATTTTAAATATTTTGCTCACTGTATTTTTAACATAATTGTTCAAAGTTAGGCATTTAAAAATGTTTTCCTGAGAATGATCGCTTAGGCCTCACTAGGTTGCTAAAGAGTCAAGGGCACAAAACCACTTCTTCATTTTGGATAGTTCTAGTCACTACTAAGACAGTAAAACAGGACAACAGCATACAAGGGGGCTGAGCTCAGCTACCTTAAGTACAGGGACCAGGAGATGCTTCTTGGAGAATGTGACATGTGAGCTGTGAGGATGACAACGTGAAAGCCCCAGAGAGACCTGAGAGAAGAAGCTTTCCAGGCAGTGGGGTTAACACATGTGATGGTCCTCGGGCAGAATGAGCTCCACAAACTTTGAGCACCAGGAAAAGGGTTAGGGTGCTGGGACTTAGAGAAGGAAGACCAATAAACTGTCCACAATAAATGGCCAACAGGGTGGAACCAACCGAAATGCACATCAACTGATGACGAGAGAAACAGAAATACCCAAAATAGAATATTCATTTAAAAAATCTTCAGATAGAGGTCCTCCCTGGTGGCGCAGCGGGTTAAAGCACAGCACTGAGAATCTAGAGCCGCTTCCGCATGAGTTCGATTCCCGCCTGCCCAGGAGGTGACCGACCACATGGCGTGGCAGACCTCTCCTGGCCTGCCCGCTGCTCCCCTCAGCGGTGTACTTCGTCCATCTGCCTGTTCTGCTCCCCGCTCTGTCTCTGGTGAAGCCTCTCACCGCCCCTGAGCCTCTGGCCTGTACCCCAGTTCTGTATGCACAAATAAATAAATCTTTAAAAAAAAAAATCTTCAGATAGAATATCCATGCATTGGAATATTACTCAACTAGTAATGGGAAAGGAAGTTAGATACACCCTCCCCATGCCTGAACCTGGGAAACGCCGCAAGAGCAAGATGGCAGACACAAAGGAGAAATATCACAGGATTGCGCTTATGGGAGATGCTAAAGTGGTCAGAGTCATCAAGCTAGAAAGCAGAATAGTGGTTACCTGGGAAAAGGGGACTGGGGCATTAGTGTTTAATGAGCTTCCCTTTGGGGTGATGGAAATAGAGGTGCTGGAGACACAACACTGCAAATGTATTAAATACCACTAAATCGTTCACTTTAAAAGAGTTAATTTTATGTTACATGAATAACCCCTCAATTAAAAAAAAAGAATAATAAGAGACAAAGTAGGTGATGCAACAGGGGACAGATAATGTAGGGTTTTGTGGGGTCTTTTGTTCCATTATAGTCTTTCTGCATGTTTATTTTGAAGCTGGCTATCTTACTGAATCATGTTCACTGGAATTGTTTTCCAGGTGATTACTTGGGTTTTCTAAATAATCATATTATAGAAAAATAACAAATTTGCCTCTGTGAATGCTTTTCTTTTTAAAGTTTTTTGTTGTTGTTGTTGAAGTAACATCACATTGCAACAGATAAATTTCAGGTGTGTGTCATTATAATCACAGTTATTATGGTCATTATAATCAGTAAACATCAACATCTGCATATACTCTGCTACATTCACCCGGTCCAATTCTATCCTTCATCATAGAATTGACCCCCCTTTCCCAACATTCCCCTCCCCTTCCCCCCTTCTTCCTGCTAACCACAAATTTGGGTTTACAAACTAGAAGCTTTTTTTTTTTTTTTTTGCTTTATTTAGTTTGTTTCATTTCTTTAGGTACCACATATAGCGAGACTTACCAACTGTCACCTTTTTGGATAATGCTGATCTATCTCATCTTGAAATACTGTCCTCTGGCTTCCTGGACACCTTTATCTCATGCCTCTGTCACTTTCTTTCTCACTCACCTTAGCCTAACTAAGCCTGTCTGAGCTTCCAGCCTGGACCGTCTTCTCTTGCCATGCTACTCATTACAAGCACATTGTTCCTGGCTGGTCTCCCTCACTCTCATGGCCTCAGTTATCACTGTCTTCTGGTCACACTTCCCAGACACCAGGAAGTAAGTCATCCTAGTCGCCTTCTCTCCAGGGCATCAGCTCTCTGTGCAAACACAGCCATCAGGGCTCCCCTGCTGGGAACCCACAATG